AGAACGAAGCAGGAGGACCTGTACTTCCCACCGAAGCATGAGCCCCCCTGGGGCTGTGCAGCTGCGTTGTTATCACGAGCTGAGCCCGGCAGGCGCCGCCCCCGATGGCGCCGGAAGCCCTCAGCCAGTGCAGTGAGGCGAGAGAAGCGTGTGCAGCCCCACAGACGGAGAACCAGGGCCGCAAAACTGCCCGCGCACAGACGCGTGGCGGCCTGCGCAGAGAATGCCGGCAGGTACGCAGAGAAGCTCAGCGATGGCGCACGGGCGGTGCGCGGAATGCATGGGTATTCCTGGGCCCTGGCAATGAACAGCTGGAATTCTAATTTTTTAAAACTCCCACTTAGGCTGCACTTCCAGAAATTGAAATGTTGCTGTTTAAGTAGGACAAGATATTTGTGGCATCTGTTTGCTAAAAACTGCAAAACTCTTATGAAAGAAATCAAACAAAGCCAAAATCAAAGGAGACAGATACTATATTTGTGAATTGTGAAACATTTTTTCAGCTGTTGCTTCTTCCCATCATGAGCTATAGCTTCAACTCTGTTCTAGTTATAAGTCCAGCATGTTTTTGCAGATCTGAGCAAGTGTTTCTAGTTGGCAAGGCACTTTTGAAACAGAAGAGCAAAGTTGGAGACTCACAAAATAGAGGAATCTCAGTGGTGGGTAGATGAGAACTCTCTGTACCAGTTGGGCAACTCTTTTGTAAGTCTAACATTTTCCAAAATGGAATGTTTAAAAAAAAATCAAGTAAAATTTATGAGGGTTACAATAAAAAAAAAGCCCTGTTGTTTCTCAACCCGATTCCCACTCTTAAAATAGCCTTCTGATCGTTTACCTACGTATTTCTAAATAAAATGATTTTCCTGCCATTTTTTGATTTTTCACTTTTAGACATTATCTCTAGACCTTTACGAAAATAAAACTATGACTATGGCTTTTACTAGCTCTGACACTGCCTCTTTCTAATCTACCCAATGTGGCTATAATTTTTGTTTAAACTTATATGTATGTGTATGAACACACATACACACCCATATATGGGTGATTATGTGATTACTACTTGAGCTGAGCCATGTATTGCACTATGGTTCTATTTCCTTTCTGGTAACTTGTTCGTTTTTCATAATTATTTTGATTGCTTCGACCTCTATGTACCTCTCACAAATTCACTGCAAAAAATTTTTAAAGCGTTATAAATCTTTCCAATCTGCCTGTGCATTAGATAATCTTCTGATCCCTTGTCTGTGACGTGGGGATGCCACCCAGGAGCCCCTGAGTTCGTGCTGCCCCACGGGCTGGCTCACCCTGGGTCTGCGAAGTCGCCGTCACCCTGGGACGTGACGTCAGTGCGACACCAGGAACCCGCGTCGTTGGCTCGGCCGTTCCTTTCACCCTGGAGGGGGCTCCCCTAATGGCCTAAAGTCGTGTGGAATGTGAGGCGCTGAAGGGCCAGTTTCAGCTGCGTGCCTGAGTGGTCTACAGGTCACGTGATGGGGCTGAGGTGTTTGCTGGAGGGGTTCGAGTGTTAGCATCTGTGTGGGTTTCTCTTCCTGGGCCCATCACTGTCCCCAGAAGAGAGCTCCTGTGCCATGCTCCCTGGTCTCGCTGGTGTCCGGGGCCAGGGCTGTGCCAGAGGCGCCCTCTGCTCTGCAAACCACTGCTCCCAGAAACGCCTGGCCGGCTTCTCTCTGTCTGGTTCAGAGGAGGGGGGAGGGGGGTGATGGGAGATGCTTCCTTTTCACCCCGCCCTCCACCCCCTTTCACACATACCTTGAGCCGCCCATTTCTCTGTCTTCCTGGGAATCTGAGAAGGTAATTGGGGCCGTTCCATTGCCCTCCTTCTCTAGACACTTAGATTTGAGTTTGCATTTGCCCTTCCATATCAGTTACCATTGAGCCATCTTCACAGCAACTTTCAAAATGTTGTCATAGTCAATCTCCTGTGGACTCTTTTCCCATTCTTCGTAACCCCGTCATTTTAGTTGAGAACCGGGACACGGGGAAGGGGCTGTTCCGCTTTGACTGTAGGCGGCTCCAGTTTCTTGTGTAGGAAGCCCTCCCTGACTTGCGTCTGACGATGGTGCTGTTTTCTAGCCCCACCCGCAGTCCGTGTGCACAAAACCAGACGAGCTTGCGTGCCGTGCAGGTCTGGGCCTGACTGCGGGGCGGTCCCGCCTGCTGGACAGTTGTCCCAGCCATTGCTGTTGATCTGGTGATGAGGCGAGAGCATGGTTCCTACTTGAATTCATCAAGGTCCCCATGTTACCATTTTATCAGGGAGTGTGCAAACACCACGCTCCTCTGCGGTGCCTGCCGAAGCGGCCGGGCCCTCATTGCGAGGGCGTCCAGCGTGGGGCTCGGGCCTCTGCGCTCTTTCGTCCCCATTCTTGCTTTGCGGAGCTGCTTCGTTAGTTTCTTCTGTCACAGATATTATGGGAAATATGTTGGGTTAAGTTTTCATTTTTAAGGTCACTTACAGCCTTTACTATTATCTTGCAGTGTATATTTTCCCTATTTTGCATACTCTACTAAGGTACAGATCAGTGGCTAGTGAAGGTATTAATGGAAAAAAGTTTATACTTCTTTCCCTAATATACTTCTGATTTTATCCTTACAATCAAATTTACAAATTTGATCCTTAAAATCAAATCCTTAAATATCAAAAACAGTGTTTGCTGTTATCTCTGTACAGTATTCACCCTGGATATCTAGAGAAATGAAATAATTTACTAACTAAAATTCTGCTGTTGATGCCTTATGGTTTTATTTTCATAACATTTAGAGATGGACAAGCTCAGGACATAAATTTCCTCCAAGAGGTTGTTTACATTCAGTTGACATTTTAATGTGGATTATATGAGAACTCAAATGCCACACATACTTAGGAGTGGCTCCCGGACTCGGTCTTGGGGACGGCGTGTTTCTGACTGTCCCGTTTTGTCACACTGCCTCATGTCTGAAGCGAAGTGAGCCTGATTTTGAAACTCTTTATATCTTATTTCCTGGGCTAATCGTGTGCGTTTGCAGGGAACCACACTTATTGCTAGTGTGTCTGTCCGTGAATGCTAGCGCACAGTGACTGATAAAAGTAAGGTAAGCACTGTTACTGAACTGTTTTTACCCATCCAGAAAGAGGCAAGGAGAAACAATTTTAGTGTAGTTGCCAAATTTCTAACACTTTCTTTCATTTAACTTCTTAAGATAAGAAAAGCTTCATTTTGTTCTTTTTTTTGTCATGGTGGTTAGGCAGTAACAATCAGGAGACAACGAAGAGCCTTCAGTGACAAAGGGGTTGTGTCCACACAGGCCTGACTGAGGGGCAAACAGGGTCCCCAGGGCTCAGCGGGTACTTCCTCCCTCCCTCTGGTGGAGAGGGATTTTCCCGCGTCCACTTCATTCCCAGTGCATTACCTTGGGCCCAAAGCCCGGGGGCTTTGTCCTGTCCTTTCTGGCTCATCCTCTCTTGCCTCGTGCTATTGCCCCGGGCACCAGGAACGGGGCATCTGTTAATGTCTTACCAAATGGGCCCAGCACCCCTATTTTCCTGCCACTTCGTCCAAAGCACCCTCTACTCTAGCCAAGAAAGGAACCCGCTTGAACCCTGTCTTGGCCCGTGGGACCGTCTGCGCGGGAAGGCCCCCGCCCCCCGCCTCTCTCTGCCTGAGGCGCTCTCAGGCGGCCTGAGGACCCGGTCTGATCGCCGGCTCGCCAGCTCGCCGGGACCCTCCTGCGTTCCCCTGCGCTGAGTCAGCCTCTCCCTCCTGTGGCTTCCCGCTGCTTGCGGTTTGCCTCGGCCCCCCGCAGAGCCCCAGCTCCTCTGGGCCTGGGTAGTCGCCAGGGCCCAGCGTGGGATCTGATTCGTGGTGGCAGGGGGCCGGGTAGGGAGCAGAGAGGGAGAGCGGCTGGATAAAGTACTGTGTCTGTAGGAGCCGAGCCAGGGCCGGGAAGCGGCACTCGGATGCTGCGTCCTGCTCGCATCCCCATTGCACTGCCGCGCTCAGCTTTTCTCAGGAACCGGGGGTTGCTGTCTCCTGTGGATAAGTACTAGCTTAACATGTTAAAACAGGGGGATATTAAGACTGGTTTCCCACAGATGGCTCTGAACCTTAGAAACTACCTAAAAGGAAGGTTCGGCCTTATTTCTGGTGACTCAGCAAGAAGAACGCAAGCTGCCTGTCGTGAGTCTAGAAGGGAAGAATGAGCCCGCTGAATGGGAGAAATGCAGCTACTCGTAGAAGAGTTAAACTCCTGTTAAAGAGAGAAACAGGGGTTGTGCAACAGTTTGATTACTTCCCTTGTACAGTTTTCCTGGAGCACAGAAGCACCGGTTTTGAGGGAGTTTAGTCGTAGAGCAGAGACAGCCACAGAGTTTCAAGCACTGTTGAGTTAAAATGGAAACATTGTTTTGACCATTTAAAAAATCTGTGGGTTTAGATAATAGTATGGTGAAGAAGAGGAGGATGAAAGGTTGTTTATGAGACATTTTACTCTTCAAAATCCTGGGAAGGACTTTCACATGTGCTATAGAGAACTTCAAAAAATATTAGCTAATGTTAGAAACCACATCATGCACCTATGCATTGCTTTTTGAATTTAGGCTGTGATCTGTCTTCTCCTAATTTGTTTTTTTTTAATTAATAAGATTATGGAACATGTACTGAGTATTGTCTATAACGACTCCTTAAATTGGAAACTTGGAATTAAAAGATACGTGTAGTAAGTCATATGTGTGGAAACAAGGCAGTGGCTAGTATCTGGCCTTATTGGATTTCTAGTCGTGTGACACTCCCTCCTCACCAAGCATTTGTTAACGTGACACTTATGCAGCCTGAAGGCCCCGAGGACGCCTTGCTGTTCAGGACACACCTTCAGGCCTGTGGGGCAAGTGCCCACTGCGGGTTTTTTCATTTGTTCTGTTTTTGCTCCACCTTCTAAATGGCTTTTTATCTACTAGGAGTCGAATAAACATTTAAAACGGCCTGCGTTTTGTGTCATTGCAGGTACTGTGGTCTTTGGAACTGGGTCATTGGATTTCTGAGGAACCGTTCGAACTTTCCGACTCCTTCCCTGCAGCTCCTGTAAGTCAGATGTTATTTTGTGATGGGAAATATGATTTGGTATTCTCAAGAAGTCATTGTGAGCTTAGCTATCAACTCAAGTGTTTATGAAATCAAGAACAATGATGCCCATAACTAAAAAGACATATTAGCAAAACTTAGCACTCGTCATCTATTTATTAGTGAGAAAAAATGGTGGGAATATGAGAATGTTCTGCAAAAAGTTGTGAGAGAAGCATTCCCCCAAAATTTCAATTACAGAAGTCCTCAGGCCTGAGACAAACAAGAATTGAAAGGCCTGGGTTCTTGAAAAGGTGGTATTGTATCTTGTTTACAGCCTTAAAGATAATGCTGCTACTGTCAATAGAGATAGAATGGATAGGTATAAAAATTGTGGCCGACCAGCCTTATGATGTGGACTTTATGTTTTAGTGCTTTTCCTAAACTCAGCTTCCACTTTACTGCATTTTAAGTATTTCAAATGCTAATGGAAAAGCTCCAAGTTCTAATTTTTTTTGAAGACTAAGGGATAATCTAATCAGTAATTTCAGTTTTACTTGGAAGCAGAATTGTGCAGAAGCTGGCTCTCGTTTTCAAATGTGTTAACTGGTTTGTGGCAGTTTGTTCATTTAAAAGATTAACACCTGAAAGATAGGCAGCGACACCGGCCTGCAACCGGGGTTCGCGCGTTTCCGGCTGTTTGATTTCGGTAGGAGATGGTCACATGGCAAGAAACTGCCTCTGCCCTGAATCGCTGTGGTTTTCAAGGTTGTTGAGTTGTTTTGTTTTCATTTTTAAGATTACTGCTTTGATTTCCTTTCAACTTCATAAATATTTTCTTAAGGAGAGAGAAATTCCTCTCAGCAAGACTCTTTGAAAGGCCATGTAAGGAACTGAAGCCTAACATGGGCCCCCCCCGACTCTGTCTCACGAGAGCAGCCGAGATCCCGAACAGCGCGGTGTGGCGCCCCTCCGAAACCCACGCAGCCCGCCCGCAGGGCCGGCGACGGAGCTGGGCTGGCGCAGCTCCCCCGCGTCATCCTGTCCCGCTCGCGTCTGCCGTGTGCTCATGGAGAGACCGTGGGGACTTGCTGTTTCTTTTCAGCCAGTGAGGCTTCCTTTTCGTTGGCTGTTTTTTACTGGATGCAGAGCCAATACCTCTGTTGCCTAGATGGAACCTGGAAGGCGGTGCGAGGAGGTGGCTCCCGGCTCGGGGGGCCTGCTTGTAGGGAGCCCGGGGCAACCCCAACGCATGGCCGTGTGGCGCACCCTAAGGCGGGGCGGGTGGGCCTGCAGAGGCCACGCCAGTTAGAGGGGAAATGGCCTGCAGGACACAGCTGTGGCAGAAAGTGTGAGGTGGAGACAGACAGGAAGTAAATGCGGGTTGCAGACCTGGCCCTGAGCTTCCGGGCAATGGAGTGGGGAGCAGGTGCTGAGGAACTGTGTCCTGGCCACGGAGCCACCCCGGGCATGCGCCCGCGCCCTGTGCCACGGAGGCCCGTGCAGACACGGCTGGAGGGAGGGGCGGTGGCCCCGGGGGGCTTGTCCGCCTCCCGGTTTTCCGTCTGTGTGTGTGAGCATCAGGCTTGGTCGTGCACTTCAAACAGTTTCAAAATGGTTTCTGGCAGACGTTTGTTTGGTAATCTTACTAATGCGAATTATTTTTTTCCTAAAATACGTTCAGGGGAGTGTCTGCCTCAATATGATTAGCTTCGTACATGCTTTACACGGCAGGGTTTTCTCAGCCGCGCGCTAAGCTGGGCCTCCTTCCCTTGAGTAGGTCAAGGCCTTGGTGGTGGAACAGCAAGTAAGGGACAATGAAATCTGCTTGTCATGGTATTAAATGTGTAATTTTCTTCACCGCTGAAAATGAGAGTTTTCCATGTCACAAGGCACATCGGTTGTTTTGGAATCAAATTACAGAATAGTAAATATTATCAAAAAAAGTTAAATGTACTCATCTCACCTAATAAGTTATATTTAGTTTCTAAAAATACCTTCATATTTAACAGTCAGGCAGCAAAACAAACCAACAGTACGATCTTTACATGAGTGAAAGAATGCGTCCGGGGGAGGTCGGGGGGGCTCTACTGCATGACCGTGAAATCTGGGTTTGAGCATTAACTTAAAACCAAGCGGCAACACATATGTAAATACGTGGTTTTCAGAATGAAAACTTAAAGACCTAAGAGCAAAAAGGCATTAACTCTGCTTTTCCTTCTCCAAATATTAAGCTGCTAATACACACTTCTCAGAAAATCCCTGAACATGTAATATATTTGTGTGGCTTACAGACAGTTTTCTGCCTTTTAATTAAGATGGTGATGCCGAATTGGGGGCATACGGCTATTTACACAGACTATAAACAGAGCCTAGAAGAATGCGTTCCCGAGACTCTCGCCCCACAGCCTAAGTGTCTGTTTTCCAGTTATTCACTGATGAGCCCGGCGGGGCTCTCCTGATGTGACAGCAGAGTCTGGGAGCCATCAGTCCCGCGCGCCGGCTCCGAGGCATCTCTGCACAGAGGTCCAGCCAGGGCATGAGGGGACGGTTCTGGGCGCCGCGTTGGTTCGTCGAATGGTGCAGGCATGAGTGATGAATTCACAGGGCTTTGCTCTGGAGCCCCCACGGGCACGCGTCCCTCTGAGGTGGCAGAGGGGACCGAACACAGCTGTGTCCTGAGGGCTCGGGCTGAGGCCACCTTCACTGGGCACGTGCAGCTGCTCAGAAGTCCGCGGGGCGGATCATCATGGCGGTGGCCTTGAGCGAGTAGCCTGACCCCTTCCAGTAGTACCACTTAATCCCGTTGAACCTGTTGGTGTTCTGCCGCTGCGGGTAGTACATTCCGTTCAGGTTGGAGGGGCCGCATGCATCAAACCACCAGCCTGCGGGAGTAACACAGGTAGAATTAGGGATGAGGCAACCCCGACCACCTCCTGTGAGGCAGGGGCCCTGGCTCGCCTGCGCGTCACATTCCGTGCACCTTAAGCACCTGCAGGTATCCCTGCGGGCGGCCGGCACTGTATGGGCGGGCAAGGGGGAGGCTCTCACCCTTTCCTCCTGTGCTGTGCTGGGGGGCCAGCGGCAACAGCCACGACCAGGAGGCCACCGCCCCCACAGCCCTGAGCTGATGGGGGCCCCGCAGGATGGAACAGATGGACAGGAAAAGCCCGGGCCCTGGGGGACGGCTCCCTGGGCCCCGAGTCCCCCCCCAGGCCCAGCAGCACAGTGACCTGGACTGACGCAGGCCTCCCTCCACCGCCAAAGGAATGCTTTGTGTTTAAAGTATAACCCCAAATTTTGAGTACCCAGTGCCGCCAGAAACAAAGACAGAAAGGAAATTGAAAGCCGCAGCGGTGTGCTCAGGAAAGCAAAGCCAGGGCGTGAGTGTGTGTGGCGCGGCGGGGGCAGGGGCTGGTCCACATCCACCCGCGGGCTGGGCTCGGGCTTCCCCCAACCCGGACACCGCAGCAAGCGGAGGCGGGCGCCAGGTTCGCATGCACCGATCCGCGTAAGTCCGAAACACTGTTGGAAGGACACATACGGTATGGTGCCATTTATATGAAATGTGTAAAATACAGAACACAGTGACAGAATCATTATGGATATTTCATATCTAGTAATATTAATAAATAACGAGACTGGACCTCGGTTCTTTGGCTTTCATTGTTACCTGGATGTTTCATTTCTTTAGAACAGTATTCTGGTGCAGTATTTATATTACGATCTCTTATTTATCCTCTAGGCTGTGGTCGCAAGTTATTTCATCCTGGTGCCTAAATTCTCTCCTGATAGTTGCAGCTCCATGGCCTGAGTTGGCTCCAATTAATGTCAGTCTGACAAGACAGATTGGTGTGTTTTGTTGAGAATCTTTCAAGAGACTGAGAAACATCTCAGGCTGGTAGATCTGCCCACCTGGAGCTGTTGTCTGACTTAAGCCTGTGGTTTACTGCCCATGTGGATGTCCAGCTGGTCCTCGGGCTGGTGTGTCCATGGCCTAGGCCTCGGGCCGGACTTGGACCTTGTTTTTGGAACCGCTCCATGTCTCCCTCAGGCTGTGTTTCCTCTTCCACTTCCACTCTCAGCCCTAAGTTGTGATTGGAGCAAATAAATATACCGTTTCCTTGGTGGCTATTGCGCTGCTCCCACTCGGGAGTAGGCCGCTGGGTTCGGTGCGGGGACGGTGAACAGGCAGGGTCCAGCTCCCCCGCACCCCCCGCCCATGCCTGCTTTGCGGGCTTCAACCACAGGTCATCTCGGCAGAGCGAGGGCAGCAGGCAGCACATGCACACGGGGGGAACAGCTTCCCCCAACGGCCAGAAGGGCGGAGGGATTGTGGCCCGCGGGGGCAGCCAGCGTTTCCAGTGGGAATGTATCCCTGCGAATGTGTTACCTAAGGAGCTGTGGGGCTGGTTTTTGTAATGCAGACAGTTGTTGCAGTAATGCCTGAAGGACGTGAAAACTGCTGAATTTTGAATCACTTTTCATAAGTCCTTTCTTTGGACCGAAGTGCGAGCATACCAGGCTGGCCCTGGCCCCCAGTGCGACGTCTGCGCCCGTGGGTCACAGGCGCGGCCGGCTGCCCGGTTCCCCGCTCCCACGCCCTGCCCCGACTCTGGCTGCTGCCCTGGGTCTCGCGGTGTTTCCAAGAATGGACTGGACGGCATTTCCTTCTCTCAGTTACTGTTAACTGGTTCTGTTTACTCAGTTGAAACTTTTAGGAATCGGTAAGAGGTTTTCTAGCAGGTGGTTTCAGTCATTAAACTCTTCAGTGCTTCTGAATCAGAGTCTAGCAATTTTACGTGCCTGTACAACAGTTGTGGCCTTAGACGTACATTTTCTTTTTCTTTTCTTCTTTTTTTTTAAAGCAGTCTGACATGAAAGGTAGGAAGCAAGAAGAATCTGATAAAGGGCTTCTCTTCACCCTGACAATTCATTTTAACTTGTGTACTAAAAAGGCAGGATGATTCATTAGCTTCTTCATGTTTTTATGTATTTGCTGTATATTAATGAAATCCTTTAAAAAAAGGTACCTGAAAATTCCTTGTTTGGACAATAAATTATTGTTTGGAAACATTTCTGTGGTAATGAATCTCTATCGCTCTTTTGGTTGCCACTGTGAACATTGAACCTTTTTAATAAAGCCAAGCGGCACTCTGCCAACCTCTCGGCGTCAGACGCTCAGTGAGCACAGCGTCGAGAGAGCTCGCCGAACGCCCACATCCCTCCCTGCCGGCGGACACAGCTGGCCTGCAGGCATCTCCGGCTCAACCCCTGCCCCTGCCTGAAGCCCCACAGTCGGAAAGAGTGGAAACCAACCCCCCATGGCAGGTGAGCACGTCTGCCGGCGAAGTGCAGACATGGCCACCAGCTGCAGGTGGGAGTCCACTGGCCGGCCCCGGGCTCCACGCGCTGCTTCCCTGCCAACACAAATAGGGAGAGGGGGAGTGGCCGCCCCACCTCCTGTGAGCATCTGCGAGCACTTGCAGATACATTTGTCCTTGTCTGCGTCCTTGGTGCTGAAATCACTTCCCGGCTGGCTGATGCTGCTTATTTTGCCGGCTGTCCCCGTGAGTCCTTTAAGGTGAATCCTGTAAGCATGCAAAGGGGGAGAAAACAGAATGGTAATTGGCTGGGGCTCCTGACTTGTCATAGTGGAAAATTTTTTTAGAAAGCATTCCATTCTACCGAAAGGCACTCTGGGCTGGTTGGTGCACTAAGGCATACGCTGGACAAAATATTTTTGCACTGGTATAAACAGGAACCAACTTATCATCAAATCCTTAGGCAAAGAGGAATGTTTTCGTGAAACCGTCAGCGCCTGTCACTTGCACAGCATCAGCGGGGACTTCAGGGCCCTACAGTTTATTTTCCTGCTGCTTTGACATAAACAGGAAGGGGGACCACAGTTGGCGGGGGGGGTCCTCCCTCCAGGTCCGCAGGTCACCCAGAGAGAAATGAGGGCCTCGCGGTGCCTGGACAGCCTCAAATACCACTGTTTCCAGGGGACAGGGGTAGGGCAGGGGGCCAGCGGGCCCCAAGGAGCGATCGTTGAACCTAGAGCAGAAATCTGCAGACTCGAGTCAGAAACTCGGACTGCGTGGCCTTGCGTCTGTGACCCACCGCACTGTGACCCACCTGCCGGGCCCTGCAAGGGACTAATGCACTGTCACGTCAGGTGCTGGTAATAGCCTGCACTCTCTGGGGGCTACAGCCACGCGGCCACCAGCACCAGTGTGGCATGCTGGCAGGGGAAGGGGCGGAGGGGCACGAAACCCGGTGTCCAGGTGGCTGCGGGCGGGCAGGTGGCGCAGGGCTCCCCGGGATGTGTGTCGCTGTGCAGGACGTGACGTTGCTGGGTGGGTGTGCGGAGCGTGGAGCCTGGGGCATCCGGTCAGCCCGCCCTGGGTGTCCTGCAGCGTGAACCCTGCAGCTGGGCGGGGAGGTCCTGCGTTCAGCCCCCGATGGCGGCCCCCTTCGTAGCTCCCGCTCCCATGTGCGGACCGCTTCCTGAGGAGGAGGGGGATGCCCAAGAACAGGAGCTGGTATGGGGGGTGGGGAAGGGAGAGGTTCACTGGGGGCTGAAGTCGCCCCTGCTGGGGGTGGCCCGGGTCGGCCCCCACTCGTTCATTGGGGTTCTACCGGACACACACCCTCCAGGGTGACCGCTTATGGAGGAAGTACTGGAAGGTGGGGGCAGGGAGTACACCAGATGGAGGTCCATAGCGCATCGATCCTAAGTAACGTCGGTGTTTAAGACTTAGATTTAAAATTGTTTTTCATATGGCAGCTCTGGAAACTTCATCACAAAGCATTGACTGAATGTCCAAATTTCAGTGCTCTCCTCACGTTTCAGAAAAGTCCCCGGCCCAGCATGGCCCCAAATACCTGCCACACAGGGTCCGCGTGAGCTCTCCACTCATGCCGGGCTTCAGGCGCTGGTTCCTTCTAGGCGCTTCCCACTGCTCACGCAGAGCGCCCAGCAGCGGCGCCTCTTCCGTCCCTCTGCTGACTCTCCTGCCTCCTCGCGCCACCTAAGCTCTCCTGGGACTCACTCAGTTTCCCCAAAGGTGAGCCACGTAAGGAAGGGTGCTACCTTCGTTAGTCTCAGTGACGCTAGTGGTGCGTGGCCCGTGGGTTTCAAGTCGCTGTCTTTTAAAATTTGGTTTTTAGGAAGAGCCACATTCTTGAAATTGCTTTCATCCGGAATTAGCCCCTTCACAGAGAGGGAAGTCAGAGGTAAAGCGAAACATGACCCATTTTTAGTTTACTGTACAAATTGTTTTCAGTTTTAGTAAAAAGGATCACGTTCTACTGATGTATTTTTCAGTTTCCTAACATCTGGGCCAGTTTCTTCAGGAGAAGAGCTCAGCTGCTGTATTCAGTAGACACTCTGAATCATTTGTGGTTGTTCTAAGTTCCAGCCCATAATAGTTCTCTTATCACATTGGCATGTTTTGTTAGGATAATAATTTTTCAATGTAATATCTGCCTTGTACCGCCAAGTAAATTAAACTGAGCTCGAAACGAATGTGTGCTTTGTGAAACGGCAGATCTCAAAATTGATTTACATTTCTAAAAGAAATATCTAAGAACCACCTCAGGTTAAAAAGTTTTCACAATGTCAGCATATAAGGGTAATGACCCGTTTTGTAAAACCCTCTTATATAAACAGTCTAATCCTTCATTTTTGCGTTTCTTTGTGTGTGTGTGTTTTTTTTTTAAATTCCTCTGTTGTAGGTTCCTAACTGTTGCCAGTTAAAAAAATGTTTAGCTTGGAGGGAAAACAGCGACCAGCCACTTGTGTCTAAGAATCCATCGCAGCCTCGCTCTCTCCGGAGCTGCCCGGGGCCCAGACACCTGTCCCGTCACCGTCCGAGCGTGGCCTCCCGGAGCCCTGCTCCTGCTGTGGCAAGATGCCGTGGGCTGCTCGCTGACGCTCTGCGACCAGGGCCATGCCTGTTGGGTGTGACTGCCCTGTTTTCAGAACACGCTTCTGCGTTCTGAGCCGCCCCTGCAGTTCTCAGGTGGCGGCCGGGCGGGCTGACCGCCGCTTCCTTGTGCTGTGCACAGGGCCCCCCCGGCCCCCTGGAAGCTGGCCCAGGACTGGAGACGGTGCTTGTGTCCACAGGGCTCGGTCCTCTGTTGGGCAGCGGGTCTGAGGCGGGCCTCCGGGGGACGCAGGTGGGCCGGCAGGCCAGATGGCGGGGGTTATCTGTGATGTGCGAGGGTGCATGGTCTCCTTGTGACCTCACAGCAGGTGTCTCCTGAGGGCGCGGGGTCAGCACACAGTGGGCCTGCCCCTTAGGCTGCCACAGGGCTCCCCAGTCCCGGGCACGTCCGCCTCTGAACCCCGTGTGAAACCGCCCACCTGCAAGCACCTCTTCTGTGCGGGCCTCACCCGGGGTGGTCAAGGTGCAGGCTTCTGGGCCCTTTGCTGCTCTCTGTCTTGCACTCTCGCAGCATTTTGGAACCAGAAAGTCAATTCCAGAACCAGGTGGAACGGTCACGATTGGCGCCACCCGCTGGTGGACAGGTGAAAGGAGCGAGCGCTGGAGGGGAGGGAGGCTGCAGTGGCGCCCCGCCCTCCACCAGCTGTCCGCTCACCGTCCCGCTGAACCGGCCACTTTTAAGCGCAGCAACTCACCCTGGCTTTGGGACGGAACATAACAATGGGACGTATTTAAACAGCAAAAAGATAGATTTAACTTTTGAACCCTTTTGGGGAGAGAGACAGTGTAGGTATGTATTGGTCATGCCGTTGTCAGACATGTTATAGGAGGGACGCGACACCCCCACACGGCCCGGAGAGTGGGGGCCCCGTTCCCGGCCGGGCCGCACGCAGCCGCGCTTTGAGGATACAGAGCACACAGGGCAGGCCCACTGCTGTCCCCCGAGCCGTCCTTTATACTGGTAAAGCCAAAGGGAGGCTCTCAGAACTGGAGAAACTTATCTCAAGGCAGCAAAGGAACCAGAGGTTTCCCTCGAAAGGCAGCCCGGGCCCAGCTGGCGCAGGGGCCCTCGCTTCCCGGGCCTGGTGTGGCCAGCGCCAGGCGGCTGCGTACCTGTAGTTGAGGTCCTCACTGGAGAGGTAGAAGTGTTCGTACAGGGCGTAGGCCTCGTTCCCCTCCCAGTCCACCAGGCGGATGCGGAGCGCGTAGCGTTTCTGGTTGGTCACTTGCGACACGAACTCGTTCCCCAGCCAGTACTCGCCAGCGGGGCTCCCGAAGCCCTGAAATCCAATCATGAGATTCTGTTACCTCGTTTGCTTTTCTTTGTGGGCTTGAAGTCAGTAGCCATCAGACCACATGGGCTACTATTGAGTACCCAGCAGAAATTCCTTCCTGTCCTGGGAAGAGTGGGGGCCTTCCATGAAAGAAGGTTGGTCGATCCGTAAAAGGTCAGTTTTAAGAAACTGATATGTTCTGGGAGAAAACTAGCGTTAGAATAATTAGAATGATTTGGGAACCCTCCCCCACCCCCACAGAAACATGAGCCCAGCAGCGAAGTTTATAGGCGTGTGAAGCCCCGCCACGCAGCTGGCTCTCCAGAACCGCCGTGCCCAGTGCGCCCAGGCCCGCCTTCGGAAACACGGCTGGCGCTGCATTGACAGACTGTCCTTGAATGGGGCGACTGACACGGTCACAAAGAGCCCCTGAATTTTAAAAAAAATTTGTCATAAGTCATCGGTTGTTTTGGATTTACGGTGGAGGGTCTACAGATCTTGACAGTTACTTTGTATAAAGAAAATTATTTTCAGATGGTTTAATGAACGTTCATACCACTTTGTATTCTTTCCAAGTCCTCTGAAAGTCGACACTGCCGTCTTCGCGCCGCTGAATGAGCGTCCACCCCCCTCCGGCCGTTTCCATGTCACAGTGAGCCTGCCAGCAAGAGGGGCACAGTTACTGAGTGCGGGCGCGGAGGCTGAGGTCTGCGTGCTAAACACGAGAAGCACGGGGAACGCAGAGACCCGAGAGCAACCCTCGTGCTCATCAGGTTCTTTGGGGTGAATCTCCATGGTCTTCCAAGAACCAGACAGCTTTAAATCAATTGAAAACCATGAGTCTAAAATGATGATGGGAAATAAACAGGAATAGAACACAATATAGTGGTGAAAGCAGGGCTTTGTCGTCATCACCTGTTTTGGGCTGAAGACCCACCCGGTGGCTGCCTCACAGTTGGCTGTCCCTAGAGGCCCACTGTGAGCAGGGCGCCTTGGCAGGTGGGCCTCGGACCTCTCACTGCCACCCTGTGGAGAGTACCGACGTGCGTGCACGTCCCTGAAACGCTTTGTGGGAGCTCTCAACCTCTGCCACCCCGGCGGGAGTGACTAAGAGGGGTCCTCTCACTGTGCGGGGTTTCCCAGGCTCCCGTTACAGGCTGTGTCAGGGGGCTGCCAGGTGGCCTCCGCGTGCGACACGCCCCAGGTTTGTTGGCCCGTCCTCAGTCAGAGGGACTGCAGGGACCACGTACCCGCTGTGACCTGAGCGTGGCCCAGCAGCCCTACCCACGGACCCCACTTTGGGCGTCTGCCCCTGGCCCCCTGCCCACCGCGTTCCTCCTCCCAGCTCCTTCGATCTCTGCTTTTGAGCAGGCTGGGTGGGTTTCAACTTGGTTCAGAACACGGAGTTCTTTCTTAGGCTAAGAGCATGCATGCTCAATTTCAGCTCAGCTGGAGGTTCATTATGAAATTAAAAACCCCTGAAAATGAGATTATATAAATAGTTTTAAATAATGAGATTATAGTAGAATAAAAATGTTTTCCAGAAAGTGAAGATCAATTTCCCTACAGCATATGAGGTCGTACATGTGAAAGTTAAGGTTCAAAACCAACTGGAACTGGTCTGTCTTTGTTGTTTGCCACGGTCTTTTTGGTAACCGTGGTGACCGCTGTGGCACAGTGGACTTAGACGGGAGCTACCCTGTGAGTTAAAGTCCTGGCACGTGGGGGTGCCCTGACCCGCTGCCGCACCTGAGGGGCTGGCGGGCTGCCTCGCCGCTCCCCGCGGGAAGGCGCTGCGGGAGCCCAGCCACGCTCCCACGCGGGCCGCTGGGCCTGATTGCTCTCCCCACGATCCGTGTGGATCCATGACCCCTCATGGAAACATGTTCCATTAAGAGGAACACCATGTTTATTAAGAATAAATGCTTTCCCCGTTTTGAATGAATCAGACACGAACACGGACCTGCCTAAGGTGACCCCTTACCACCCTGCGTCACTTTAGCACCGCTGCGGGTAGGCCCTGCTGCCGCCCTGTGCTCCGCACGCCCTGCGCGAGGCGCCTGGCACATTGTGTCCAGTCCGGCAGCAGCCTGCGCTGACAGGCAATTCGCATTTCTGAGAGCAGAAAACACGTTTAGGCAAGTTAGATGGATGTGGTTGGCCATCCAGCTGTTAAGGGCAATAGGGACTGAAACCAGCTCTAACTCCTAATTGTGTAACATTGTTTCTACTAGACCTGCTGATGGAAACAGAAACCTGGCCAGTTGTTCCTGGGCCGAAAGGCCCTCGGCACAGCCCTGAGCTGCACTCAGCTCGCACAGGACCCTCCTCTCCTTTGCCTGTGGGCCACAGAATGGTCAGTCCTGCTCACGTCCCTCAGCACGCTTCTCACAAGCTCCCCTCAGTAAACCAGCTCGGGAAGCCACAGGGGTCTGGGAAGGTGTGTGGGCGGCGACGCGAACCCCCCAGAATCCTATGCGGTGTTCCGCTGGGCAGACGGTGCTGACGTGGTTCCAAGGGCACGTGACCCTTTGGTGTCGCAGTCACTGCTGTGAAGTTACTGACACATAAGTCCGAGAACCAGTGCAGCTCGTTTTAGAAATCAGAGTCAAGGCCCTGGAATGGCTGAGGACGCCTGCGGGCGCGTGACTGACTGGGGCCGTACCGCTCTCGAACTCGCATCGTTGGGACGCTTTCTTAACAACTGTGTCCGCACTTGAAAACAGATTATGAAATTGGAAGTAGACTAGTACGGTTAATCGGGTCGTGAAACTTTGAGAGAGAGTCGCCCACGGAGCCAGAGGGCACCGGGTGGAAAAGATGAAGCAGATAGCACCGGGCCGGGCAAAGCCGGGCTGCTTGGGGATACCCGGCCCAGCAGCCCCTGGGGACCTGTGCTTGGGGCCAGCGCCCCAGGGCCCCGCTCAGGGCCCTGGGTGCGTGCTCGAGCTCCAGAGTTTGCTGTCAAGGTTAGGCTTCAGCCCTGAGGCCATGGCAAGGGACCAGCTGAACAGCAAACACAGTAAGAGAAGCGTTCGGAGACAGGTATCCCATGAAATTAGGGAAGGACACCATCCTGTCTGTAGCTAGCAGGCGCCCACAAGCGCTTCTCGCAGATGCTTTCTAGAAGCATCCGCCTCATACAAAAACCTCATGAAGTTTTCAAAAGTGAAGTTGAAGCATTTAGGCCCTCTTGGGAAAGATCTCCCAAAAATCTCCCGAAGGTTCGCTTCCTGAATTAGCTGCATCCGGGCAGCAGGGGGTCCCCGGCCAGGCGAGACGCTGTCATCTCCTGTGTTTGCGAGCAGCCACCCTGTGACAGCGGAGGGGTGGGGAGCACGAGTCCCGTTCTGGGAGCTGGGCCTCCGCTGCGACCTCGACCCCGCGCTCCAGGGCGGGAGGGAGGGGCCGCGCCCCTTACGGGTCAAGACACCGAGGGCTCCCAGCGTGAACGACCTGCTCAGAGGCACGGACCAGCAGAGCCCGAAGTTAGGCCCCGACGCGTGCGACGTCCTCTCCGTGGACCAGGTGGTGAACCATGGAGTCTTACGCTGGGAGGGGAACCCAGGTCTCTTAACCTGGGCTGTTTCCGAAGGGGTGAGGAGGCCAAGCTTTCAGAGGTGGGGGGTCCCTCCCATGTGCATGAGGTACCTTTTTTTAAATGTATTTTATTTATTTTTAGAGAAAGGGGGGAATAGTGGGAGAAGGAGGGAGAGAAACATCCATGTGTGATTGCTTCTTGCGCGCCCCCTGCTGGGGACCTGGCCTGCACCCCAGGCCTGTGCCCTGACTGGGAATCACCCTGGCGACCCCTTGGTTCGCAGGCCGGCGCCCAAGCCACAGAGCCACACCGGGCAGGGCTGCATGAGTTCTCTTTACTGCAAACGTTTGAAAGGAACGTAAGTCCTAACGTTCCCAGCCGTGACGGGGGACGTGCGCCGTCCCCGAGGCCTGCTTGTCTCCTCCTCCTGCAGGACGCCCCACGGGCCCCTGGGCGGCCCCTGGGGGTCCCGGGCCCCAGGTGGGGACACTGAGCTACGGGGAACGCGGACACAGCGGCAGGGCGGCGACCGCGCTTCTGGGTTTGTAGCAGTGGCCGCCACTTTTCACTCGTATCCTCTGCCCCCTCCTCCTGCCGCCACTGTCCCACTATGTCTGTGCCAAGAAGAGCCCCACATCTGGCGACAGACGATAGCGTCCCAAGAGTTGTCACGAAAGCCCGATGGCAAAGGGGGTTGGAAGGCTCAGCACAGAGGCTGTTCATCACTCGTGACCTGCGACAGGCCGTTTGGGGGGCTTTCCTGCCCCCCACGCATGCTTCCAGGGCACTGGGGACATTAACCAATTTTCAAGGTTGATTTAAAGCAGCATGAATGGATTAAGAGTTCTTTGGAAAGTATTATGTTCACTAAGACAATATTTGTCTTTTAAATTCATGATCAAGGCCTATGTTACTGCTTCAAATCCCGTGTCTTTAAGCCCTTAATGCTTCTACTTTTAAAGAGTTGTTCTTTATCACAGTGCCGAGGATGACACTGAATCAGAGAGAGAGTACTTCCCGGGTCTCTGGAACTTGCACTTTTGGTACAGTATCACATGCCTTTTCTGTAAATGTCTATATTCGATGTGTGGCAGCTTCTGCCGTAGGATGCGACGTCCTAACAGCCGTTTGCTGTGTGCAGTCATCTGCATTTGTATAACTGATTCTCCCCTGAAGTTCCTCCAGCTTATCGAGCCTCGGAGAAAGGCCACACTGAAGTATTCCCTGGGGAGCGACTTTCATCCCCTCCGAGCACACTGTCCCCGGAGCAGCTGCAGGCCCGCTCCCGGAGCCGGCCGGACGAATGGTGGAGCCTCTGGGCATCTCCAGCGAGGCCGCACGTGCGCCACCCCGGCGGCAGCCTCCGCTGGTCGGGACCCTTCCCGCAGCCGCGGTGGGGCGCACACATATGCTGCAGTCCGCACTGCGTCTGGCGGAGAAAATGGTCTGCTCCGGGCCGAGCGTGTGCGTCTTCAGCCCCAGCGGCGGCGGAGAGCAGCTGGCTGCAGCGGTCCTGGGTGAGCGGCCTGCGGGCTCCTGCGGGGCCCTGGGCCTTGGGCCCTGGGCCCTGGCAGCAAGCCCTCGAGGTCGCCGCCGTTGCCGCAGTGACACGCGGTCCTCCTGGCTTTTCACACTGTGCTGGTGGTGCGCACACGGCGCACACACACGGGCCTGGGTGCCTGCGGTGGTGCCCAGTGAGACTGGGTGCCCGCACATGGCCACCTCCTTGTCCCACGCGCGCACTGCGGCCGCCCCTGGCGACACAGGCAGGGTGGGCACGCTAAGCCTGAGCTGCCAGGGGCAGGCCTTCCATGTCTGCATTCTGGGACCCTGTGGCTGTGAGCTCATGAGGGCACTGGGAGGCGGAGGAGACACCACTGTTATTTGAAACAAGGATGGAAAGGCAAGCCATGGATACCCCACACCTGGTGTGGGAAGACGTGTTCTTTAAATTTCACGAACGAGAGTCACACCTCACGGGAGACAGCTGGCAGCCTGCACGCCCCAGCCCAAAAAGGCCAGGAGCACTTGTTGGGGCTTGGAGCCTGGCTGGCCCCGCGCGCACGCGTGCACAGCAGGCGGATCCCAGCCCTGTGACCCGCACCCTCCACGCCCAGCCTGGCAGGGAGACCCGGGGGGCAGCCCTTACCTTGACCTCCTCCGTGGAGTTGGGGAAGGTGAGCGTGTAGATGCCGCTGGTGGTCCGGCCGGCCCTGAACGCTTCCGCACAGTCTCTGAAGACGGCCTGTGTTTCCTTAGCCACCAGGCCGCTCTTCGCTGCTTTTGAAAACAGAAGAGTGTTTGTGTGGAGTTCATGGAAAGATACAAGGTTAGGATTTCAACATACGCTCATTTGCGAAGTTTTATTACATTTGAATTCTTAATAGTAGGTCAAAAGGATGTGCCAGTTTTTTTACCCTTTTAAGTAAAGCTACTCCAGCCCTGTTCTGTATACACTCAGCGACTGGGACAGTAGACTGCACTCCTTTTTGATCTACCTGGGATACGGTACTTCACAATCAGCTGGAATAAACTACCAGTTTTTAAACTCTTCTGGCTTGAGTAGAATCAGATAAAGTTATTGCAGGAGAATAAAACAGAACACACTGAAAAACAGCGCTACCTGTGCAAAGGTTGTGTGGCCGGCCCTCCGCTACCATGCCATCCAGGCCGCCCTTTCCCTCTTTTTATGTACATCCGAGACCAAGTCCTTACACATTCTTTAGAAGATGGGCTTCCGACATTAAATGTGCTTTGGATTTTTAGCAACTACCCTCTAATTGTTTGTGTTAAAGGGGAACCTCGCGTGAATTTTATCTCTACCTTTGAAATTCTTCATCTAAGTCTGAAAATTCTAGGACTTGCTGAGTTCAACATTCAGACCCCCCAGTTCTTTTTTGCCACATCAGAAAAGGGGTGTGTGTGTGCTTTTGCGCGCACGCGTGCGTGTCCTCACAGGGGTTTGCCCGTGTGTCGCCGCAGAGCCCCCACGCGCCGTCCCTGGCCTGGCTGCCGCGGGCCTTGCAGGGGGCGGGCGACCCAGGCTGCCCTTCTCCGCTGGCGTCTCCCGCCAGGGCCCGAGCTGCCCGTTGGCCTCTTTGGTGGCACCTCAGCACCAGCACCTCGCCCTGTCCAGCCCCACCGGGCAGGTCAGACAGCTGTCTGCTGCTTGTCTGTGGGAGTTGAAAACAGCACTTCTAAATTACAAGAGTGTGAAACTCTGGCTGGAGGGCGCGCGGTGCAGACTGGGACCCCGGGGTGACAGCCGCCACGGGTTGGGGCTGCTGCTGTTGCGTGTGTTCCCTTGTTTAGTAGGAGCCTTGTTTCCGGGTTCTGTAAAAGCTGGGGCAACTGCGCGACTTGAGGAAAGGGGGAGAACGTGTTTGCAACGGAATGGTGGGTGTCTCAGCGTGATTCTTATGTGAAGTGTATCTGTGTCGAAGAACACAAGCTGAAAGGCCATTATGAGATAAACCATAGCGAGAACTGGACCCAATTTGTTTAAGAAAGAACTTAAAAATGCTACAGAGATCGTCTGTCCCCGCTAAGGAGCGACTGGAGACACTGCCTGTGTCCCTCCGTGGTCAGGGGAACGGGAGGCAAAGAGCACCGAGCGGCGGAGAGCAGGCGAGGCTGCACTGGAGGGGCCGGCTCCCAGCCCAGCGCAGCCCCTGACGGCTGGTGCAGACAGCATCGGATGGGCCCGCTTTGCCTTCCCGCGGCTGCGTTACCCTGCCGGGCCTCCTGTATCTATCTGGTAAATGGTGCAGTTGGCTCAAGTAAGGCTCTGTGATGCCTGGGAATCAAAACTGCCTTTGCAGTGTTTTGCTTCGTAACAACCCATCCGTGTAAATATATACCCGCTTCCTCCCACTCTCTCCTTTTGAATGGGTTCTACATTGAGACCTTACAAAGCTTTCATAGCAGATAGATAAGAAAAGTAGTGCCTTTTTCTGAAAGATGAGGATTTCCTTAGGACTTTGAGGGGTTCCCCGACACAGAATTTAAGGTGGTGCACAACTGCAGGGAGGCGTGTAAACGGCACTTACAGCCTGGCGCGGACATCATGGTCAGCAGGTTGTGCACCGTCTCCATCAGGTCATGCTGCTGTTTCTGCAGCACGGAGTTGTTCACGGTCGCCGTCACTAGCTGCTTCTCCAGCTCCTCGATGAGGGAGTTCTGCTTGGACACCAGCACCTGCAGCTGGTCCTTCTCCTCCTGGAGCGACTGGAGCTGAACGATGTGCTTGTCTTCCATGTCGAGCACCTTCTTTTCTAGGAGGCTGGTGGAGGGAAACCATCGTCAAGACCCAGTGCCTTAGAAGCTGGGCAAGGCCGGGGCCTGGCACTGCGCCTCCTCGCGTGGCCACCTGGGCGGGCTGTCCGCTCTCCGGGTGTCCGTGAATACCCACGTATGGAAATAAAATCTCTCTCTAAAACAAAGGCGCTGGGTTATAGGGTCTCTGGGGCCCCTTCTACTTCAAATAATCTAACCCTGTTCGTGCCTTTTCAGGGGCAGTAAGGAGCTTTTTCTCCATCTTTAACACTGCAAACAACACTATGAAGCCAAGGAACTGAGTACCTATTCAAAGTCTTAATTGTAAGCATTACCAGTCAGTATTAAGAATTATTATTATTAGACACTCAGTGGTAGCTCTTAAATTTATCCCAGCCTATGGGTCATTGTGAGCCAGGACAGTAAGTCTACTGTCAACATGTCACATCAGTAAATAATCAGTTACTGGGACATAGTCATTTGCAGCTGACTTGCATCAGTTTTACCATGTCTGTCTTTAACTGTCATTTCCTAACATTTTTCTTGATAATCAGCTTTCTATCTGTATGTCACTTTGACAAATTTAAAAACCACGGTGACTCACCGTAAGCAGAAGGGCAACCTGAAAATAGATGCATAAAGCGCTGGTTTCCTGCCTGAGACCGTCTCTGCACCTCCCGTGTGCAGGCAGGCGGTGCGCTCAGGGACACCCCTGCAGCGTGGGACCAAGCCCCCAGCGCAGGTGTGCGGGGCACCCCCAGCCACATCACTGCCTGTGGGCCGACGTTCGGCCAGTAGGCAGGAGAGGTGGGGCGGCCCCGTGGCCCCAGCTGTGCACGGGCGCCTGGTCCGCTCAGGGACAGTGTGTTTTCTGGAAACTTCCATCCGTTTCTCCCCAAACTATACCAGTGCAGCTGTCGGGGCGGTCACACCCTTATCTAAAAGGTCCCGTCTAAGTGCGAGCTCAGCCCAGGCCGGGCCGGCACAACACGACAGGGCCACTGCGTGGGGCCCACAGAAGCTCAGGCCACAGCGAACAGCCCCTGGGGGACCCCAGGCCACGCAGTTGGCAAAACGCAGGGCAGGCCCGTCACTAGCTGTGAAATCAACTCAGCGGGTCGCAATCGGCATTTTTTAATGGAAGGAAATTGAATACGGCTCGCCCTTGAACAACACAGATCTAAACTGTGGGTCCACCTATATACAGATTTTTTCCAGTAAATACCTTTACCGTTTTCTCCGTGGTTGAGAGTCTGAGGATGCAGAGGGCTGACTGTATGCGTTGATACGTCATTTAATACAGGGGACCGAGTACCTGCAGATTTTGGCACCTGGTTGGGAGCGCCGAGGGGGGTCCTGGAACTAATCCCTTGAGGATTCAGAGGGTTGTTAAGTTTGTAGGGAGTCAAGAGTTATTTGTGGATTTTCGACTGAGTGAGGGTTTGGCGCCCCAATCCCTGTGTTGTTCAAGGGACAAGTGTAAGTGGGAGAAAACAGATGAGAACAGCGTGTGATTCCGTAGCAAGGACTTGGCGCAGCAAGCAGCGCGGTGACCAGGGAGAGGCGGGTGGGGTCACGTGAGGGCGGCTCTCCTCGTTCCAGGCTTTGCTCGCTGGCGGTTTACTTGATTTTCTGATACACGATGATGGATTTGATCATAAAAGTTGGACTTATGCACAGCTTAACTTTATAGAAACATAATTCAGGGTCAGCTGGGAGGTGTGGGGAAATATCCTATTTTAGCAGATACACAGGCTGGTTCCTGTTGATTTTAAGAGTTTGTATTGCCGAGGGTCATAGCACTTTCCAGTAACAATATAATCACGATACCAATAATTACCATTTAATTGAACTGGTACGAGTAGCCCCTAAATCAATTATTTTTAGAGGGAAAAATAGACTGATATGTTGGAAAACCCATGGTCAGTTGCAATTGCTGCTGGCGCATTTGAAGGTATTGGAGTGGCGGTTTTCGGAACAGCGTCAGCCCTGGTAAACACCTGGCCTTCGCTGAAAAGACCCCATAAAGAGCGCGGATGCGCCGCGGGGAGACTGTGGAAGATCATTTGAATTACGGCTGCTGTATTCAATGCAGTCACATTTTGCAATGATGGTTTTGCAAGTGAAATCTTCGTTTAGTCAAAATTTAAGGCACCTGAAAACATGGTGTGTCAACCTCATTGAGAGGTGTAGAGTCACCAGCGCAATTTCCTCCTTTGTACTTATTTACAAAGTTGTGGATGGAGGAAAACCTCACCGTTGTCTTTTCGTATGCATAGCAAAGAAAACGTGAGTCTGCAGCTGCTGACCAGGCTGGCGTCCCTGTCTGCCTGCCTGCCTGCAGGTCTGGGTTTGTGGGGTGTGGTGTTTGCAGTGAGTCAGCTGCTGGAGGCACCCTCCAGGGCGGCACCTGCGGGTCATCCCGGACCAGCCAGGCATCTCCCCGCAGTCCAGGCTGCGGAGCGGTTCCAGGTCGCCCGAAATTTGACTGTGTCAGATACGTTTGACGAGGTGGCTTTATGGAGAAAATGTGATGTTTACATTTCATTTCACACAAAACTGGGTTGGAATTATTGGGGAAGTTCATTATCGGTCAATGCAGATTATTAAATTGGGGGAAGCACGAAGCATTTAAATGAACAAAGAAAGGACCGTCTAAGCAAGAGTAATGGGAAAACACAGCCAGCTTCGGTGCCGCTGGGGCGCCTCGCTCACGCAGCGTGAAGCTTCCCGCAGGAAGTCCCACTGCATCGGGTAGTCAAGAGATGGAGTGGCCGAGGTTGACTGTGTTTTAGAGCAGTTCGGGCTGCCTGTGACGGGCAGGGTTTGCTTGTAGAAGTAGAAGTATTCACCAGTGTGTCTGAACTCGGGAATAAAATTCTATTTCTAGGCAAAAGGCCACGGGATTTGACAAATCTTTGCAAAGGTGATACTTGGGTAACGCAACGCAAGTACTTGAACGAGAACTTTGGCAGCGTAGCATAATGAATTAAAACGTAAGGAGGGAGCGGTGTGTGATTCCAGGGTGTGTTCAGCAGAGCCAACACGTCCTCACAGGCGTGACTGGCAAGTGACAGAGTCGTCTGCCAGCACCCACGTGTGCCCAGCAGGACTGCCGGTGCCCAAGAGGGTGTCGTTAGGAAAGGCCTTGTTAGCAAAATTATGTTAGAGAGACTGGAATAGCTCCGCTCCAGATCTCGAACGCTTATTTCCTACTTTGCAGAAGAGAAAATTTGAAGCATTAAAAAATATATTTGGGTTAAAAGTAGACTTGCTTTTTCAGATTCTAAGTTAGTGAGTTAAGCTTGCTGCCCAAAGAAGAGAAAGAATTATTTCAGCTTAGTTCTTGATTAACAGGAAAGAATGATGATAAGATGATCAGTGGATCATACTTTTTGGTTCAGGACAAAGCATTATTGAATTGAAATTATTTCCTCATAAAGTGGAAAGTCTAGTGTGGTCTGACCATGCTCCGTGTCATCTGCATGTTTTGATTAGAAATGAGAAAGTAGCACCTCAGGTACCTGAGCACAATTGTCATCCTGAGCCTCCAGCTGGAAGACACAGGTAAACAGTCCCCACTGATCCCCCATAATGTTTGTTTTTGTATTGTTTTTAGTTCGCATTTTTCTGTATTTAAATACTAGCAGAATCCTATTTAATCTTAGCTTTTGGTATTTATTACATGTTTTAAGAGTAAGTAAATACTGCATTATGAAACGTGCTTCGGTTTTACAATGTAAGTGTAGTTTTCCAGCTGTAGATTGTTTGCCATTGGGGGGGGAAAAAACTAGTTTTCCAGAGACAAAGAAACTTGGTGAAGTTAATATGGAAATGCCTAGGCCGGGGCCCGCTCTCCACAACACTGGCAGCGGCTTTCCGGAACGCGGGGGCAGACTTGGGAGAGTTCAAGTCAGCACATCTTTAAGGGCCCAGAGGATGAAAAACAGAACCGAGGACTGAGTTAGCAGTGCAGACTCTTCCTGCATTTTCCTCCAAACCCTTGCCCTGCCTTCCCCTCACAGAGTCCCTGATCCTTATGAAATTTTAAATTAAGAAATTCAGCACTTTGGAAGAATATGTATAATTAATAGTCATATGACATAGTCTTGTGTATGTAGAAAGTGTGCAGTTCTGGATTATAAATTGTTTTGTACTTTTATTACCTGTTCTTATCTTGCAATTTGTTTATTTCACTGGTCTGATCCAAAATCTGTTTTTCCAATTTGTTTGTAGAAAGGGAATGTTCCAGAAGCTGAAGTTCAAGTCTTGTTGTCTGATTTAATACCTAAATGTAACAAAATAAAATTCCTATTTACTATTTTTAAAATTAGATATAACTTCCTTTTCATTAAGTTATCTCAATTATAGGAAAACATAACTGAAGCATTATGTATTTACCCAGCTCTCTTACTTTGGCATGTTTTTCACTATCAGAAAAGTCTCAATTTCCTGGGTTGCATCAGAGTTTGTTTAAGCTTTTTAACTGGGTCTTTATTTTGGAAAGTGTTTAATAGTCTGGACAATGGTATTTGTGTCAAATAACATAACGTCATTTTTCTTGTCCTGCCATGTGTTGCCGTCTCACACAGGGAGGCAGGTCAGAGTGTAAAGTGGTGCAGTTAATGTGCCAGAAAGCGTTGGTGGCCATCCAGCCTGTGCCCCAAACCGCGCGGCGCGCTCGTGCTGGTCGGCAGGCGCCGTGGCTGGGATCCCGCGCTGCCACGCCGGCACCTCCTGGTCCCTGGTACTCGCTGGTGTGGCCTCGTTCCTCCCTCGCGTCTTTTTCCGAGTCCGAAGACCGCGGCCAACGGCCGCTGGGACGCAGTGACTCGCCAGTCTGGCGCGGGACCGGGGCTGGCCTTGGAGCCCGCCTGCTGTGCCGCGTGCAGTGCTGCTGTTCCCGTGCGTTTCCCCACCTTTGGGGCGAACTCCTGCACGTTTGGCTGCCGTGGAGCCGGAGGAAGCCATTACTCACATCCTCTGTGTTGCGGTTTTTCAGGATGTGAAGTCACATGGAGGGGCAGGCAGGGCTGTTGCCCAGGAATGAGGTCCTTGAGAGGAGCTTTGTTTGCTCGGGTCTGGGTCTCACACAAGGGCTGGCCCCCCGCGTGCAGGTCAGGGACAACCCAGCCCTGAGCGACAGTGGGTTGCATCCCCACCAGGAGCACGCCTGTGGGAGCGAGTCGCGGCCACAGGGGCGGCCCCACGTGATGGCTGGAATGGCGACTTGGCTTTCGTGGCTGGGCCCACACGTTCTGCACTGGCTGTGGCTGGCAGGGCCTGGAGGGCCGGGTCTTCCGTTTAATTCAGAGCGGCTGTAACAGGAGCAGGGCAGGAGGTGGGGCAGCAGCGTGTGGGTCGCGGCTGCCCCAGGACCCGCTGCAGCGCTGACCGCCGCTTCCGCAGGCAGCCAGCTGCCGGGGCGTCCACGTTCCTGTCGTCTCTTACCTCGCAGGCCTGCCTGCGTCCCTTCGTGGTCCCATTTTATGGTCTCTGAGAGGCCGACAGAATCTTGCTTCGTGCAGAAATCGTCACATTTGCACTAAAACCTATTTCACACAGTGACCGCTCTGCAAATGCTCCAAGCAGGTGGCCTCCGCCGCGCGGTGCCACGTGTTCCGACTCGGTCCGGCCACCCTCGTTGGCTCAGGTGGACACGGCGGCTGCCCTCTGCAGCCGTCTCCCAGCGCCTGGTGTCCTGGACCCAGGATGGGCAGTTTCACAAGGTTTTTACAAACCACAGCCCCAACCAGAAACAGCTCATGAAAGCGGGTGAGTCTGCCTCAGGCAGGATGCAGTGAAGGTTTACATCCCAGCTCGCTCAGCCTTACACTCCCTCATTACTGTCACCTGAAAACACAGGAAATGGGCTTCCTGACACCCACCAGCTCTACTCTCAGACGGTGAGGAATGTGAGTTAATCATTAATGATTTATCTCAGTAATGGACTATGGATATATTGGTACTTTCACTTTTAAATTTTTATATTTTTTCATTCTTAGTTTTTATTGTATCTCTGGATTACAGTTTATGTATTTTCATACTTGGCTTTTATTACCTCTTTGTTCACCCTTGTCTCTGTCAAGTCCTACAACGACTGTATAAACCCACAGGACAAATCGTATAAAATCATACCACGAACTAACTATATAAACTTACACCACACATTATTCTAACAGTTCTTGGAGATTTAGGTTTTATCCTAACTGAAGAGGTAGCTTGAAGGACAGGGTTTTAGCCCCGTGCCTTAGGGCTTGTCATCTCTCAGGCATCGAAGAGTTGCCTTCGAAACGAAAAGAACACCCGAGTCCAGAAGACACCAGTGAGGCAAGAGAGCATTCAGCTTGCAGTCACCGCGTACGAAGACTGTGAGAATGGTCTGAGTGTCCTTAGTGGAGTCTGTGCAATTTCACCTCAGCGCTAAAGATGAAAGTGTACTTACTGATTTTAAAGTCCTATATAGTCAGCAGGTATTAGGTCCTTCCTAGTTCACCCTTCTCTCTGCTAAGGGCGACCTCTCTCTACGTTGCCGTCCCTTCCTGCAGTTCCCGGGCTGCATGACCCCATGCTGGCAGTGATGGGGCCGGACCCTGCGCGCTTGCCGCGTCCCCACTTACTTGGGCCTCGACATCGGTGAGCTTGCGCGTCTGCTCCGCCGTCTGGTTCAGCAGGCTTGTCCCAATCTCGATCATCACGGCGGTCTGGTTCTGCACTGCGTTCTGCTGCATCTCCGCCATCTCCTTCCTCATGCTCTCCTGGATGTAGCTCTCCAGCTGGGGACACACACGGGGCAGAGCGGCCGTCGTGAGTCAGGCGGCCAGAGACCGTACTCCTGAAGGCACCCCCTGCCTTCAGCAAACCTGGGGTGACCTGGGGCTTGCTTTGATTTTGAAGTTTTGTTGTTGTTTTTTTAATCACCAAAAGTAAAATACAGTGTGATTTTACATAACTCAAAACCTGGCAGCTTTGCAACACTGCGTAGCAGACAAACTAGCGGTCTGCACCGAGCCAGGCCAGGGAGGGAGCGAGGCTGCCTCTCCAGGAGGACAGATGGACGACGGACGGCGGCCTGTCCGGGAAGAGCCGTAGGCCCCTCTCGGCCATGTCCGTCCAGCTGTCCCTGTTCTGCAGGGACCAAGGGTTTGCGTCTAAGGAGCGTCATTGCTCCTACCGCGTTCTAGCCTTACCAAGACTGCACGGGAAAGGCGCACCTTGGGGCCTGCCCTGCGACTGTCGGGGTCGCCCCTCAGCCCCCCTCGGCAGCCCCCGGCCCCTTCCCTCTCCCTGAGCTCTTCGCACTGCACCCTGTCCCAGGGTCCCTCACGGGTGTGCCTTTGTCCTGAGTTCCTCAGTTCACGCATTGGACAGCCTCAGCCCCCTGCTCGCACATCCATCGCTGCACGTGCTGCTCAGGGCGGGTGCTTCTCCCCTGGGGCTCTGGGGCCCATGGGTGCAGGGGCTCCCCGTGACAGGAGCGTGAGCACAGGGGAGCGGAGCGGCCGGGGTCACTCCCGCAGGCCGTCAGGTAGTCTGATTAACTGCTCACACAGTGCGGTGGCGGGCGGTGGCGGCGGGTTGCGGGCTGTGCGCCCTGCTCCCTTCTTCCCAGCCTCTGACTCGAGGTAAATGGCTTATCTTTGTGGGGACTCCGGGGTCCTCATATGTAAAATGGTGTGTCTGATTGGTCAGCGGGCTGTTGTAAGCATTAATCGAGCTATGTTTTTTCAGCTGCAGTTGATACCTGACGTGATTTTCTGTTAGTTTCCAGGTGCAGCCTGGTGGTTAGACATTTATGCAATTTACCAAGTGACCCCCCCCCCCGCAGTCAGTCTAGTGCCCACCGGACCCCACACACAGTTATTACGACATCATCGACTGTATTCACTATGTCATGCTTTGCACCCCCACAACTGTTCTGTGCGTGACCACCAACCTGTGCTGCTCAGCCCCTTCGCTTCCCCCCGCCCCTCGCGCAGCCCTCAGTCTGTTCCTTGCATCTGTGACTCTGTTTCTGTTCCATGCGTTTCTTTTGTTGTTTAGATTGCACGCATAAGTGAAATCATAGAGTATTTGCCTTTGTCTGACTTAGTGCACTTAGCAAAATCACCTATCGGTCCATCCATGCTGTTGTAAATGGTGAGATTCCATTGTTTTTATAGCCTGTAATGTCCCACTGTGTATATATACATGCACCGCATTTTTATCCACTCATATATGTAGGTGGACACTTGAGCAGCTTCCATATAATGAAGCTATGTATTAATTTTTGTATTCTCACCCGAGAATATATTTATTGAGTTTTAGAGAGAAAGGAAAGCGGGGGAGGAGACACTGATGTGGGAGGACCACCTATAGGCTGCCTCTCCTCCACGCCCAGACCGGGGACAAAGCGACCTTCGCTGCGCAGGACAGCGTTCCAACCACCCGCACCACCGGCCCGGCTCGTTAGGCTGTGCTTTTACAGTCGTGTATGCATAACTCGGGGCACTTAAAATTCAGTTCTATTTCTTCTTTGTTTTTTTGTCATGATCCAGTGATAGGAGCCACAGTTCCATTCGCTGTTCTAAAATCTAAGATGAGGACAGGACCCTATTTTTATTTCTTAATCACATAGTTACAACTTAAATATTTTTTATTCAGTTGAGTGATTAAAAATCGGCCACAAAGCTGCTGGTAGCACGGTTACTTTTTAAACCGCAGAGCAGCCCTCAGTGGGTCTGCGGCAGGCCCCTGCGTGCCCCTCTGCCCCTGCCCAGGAGAGGCAGGGGTGGGGCTGGGGGGCCTTGGCGTTGGCGGCTCCACGGCTCCACGGCTCCACGCTGTGTCTTGGGTGGGGTTGCAGGGCTTTAGGGTTCCGGTGGCACTGTCAGCATCCCCTCGCGGGGCTTGCTGGCCAAGGCCGGTCCCCACGCCCACGCATTTCCCATCTCCAGGCGCTGGGGGCTGGGATGCTCCGTGGGCCCCCCTCGGCTCTCCCCTGGAGGCTGTGGGACAGGAAGCCTGACACCTGCTGGAGCCCCCAGGCCACGTTGGTGTGGCCTGGAGGCCTATGCCCCTCCTCCTCGTCCTCTGTGTGACTGGAGCTAGGCTAGGCCCGGTGTGAAGAGGCACAGCCCCTTCCCTCCCCTCCCACGTCCCAGCATCTCTGCAGACTCCTCCAGCAGCATCCGTTAACCCTCGCCGGCCGGCTGGGCCCGGGCGCAGGCTCGTTGGTGGCCGTGTGCGCCGGAGTCCACTCCTTCCGCCTGTCCTTCCCCTGCCTGTTAAAAATCGTGACTTGTGTGGTTTCAATATGCCGTCCAAAAGAACCTAGATCTTGAGTGTGTGACTGCTCCCCCGGCTCCCTACACTCATTCATCACCATGGGAATGATGGAATTTTTGAGGTTAAAGTTAAAGCTGTAGAAGTCATCTAGAGAAGTTATCTTAGTTACTCTTAACACCGAGCAAAAATAATATTTAGAAAGACTTAGTCTGGGAAGTTTGGCGCAATTACAGATAGATTCAAGCTGGAGCATGGTGTAAGTCTACACTCCGAAGTACTAATTTATAAATGATTATAAATAAAGGCCGTTATCTTACCGCCTTCAGTACGTAAGAGCTAAATGAAAATTATCCTATCTTCTGTCACTCTACAGGATATAGCCAGAGGGGAAAGTGAATTCTTTAATCCTTCCCCAGCCCTGTTTCTAGAACTGCTGGGTCAAATATGTTTACAGCCACCAAGAGACATGAGAGAGTTGTTTATAATTTGCCATTTTGAAGTCATGTTCCAATTTAAAATTATACTTAGGAACTTTAAAAGACATAAAAGATCCAAATTATAAAAAAATTTCTTAGCTTTATTGCCGTAACTTTTCCTAAGCTTGAAAATGATAGAATGCAAAATTTTCTAAGCCACTACTTTTCAGCTTTTCGGGATGATGAGGTGTTTATGTATAGGGTGCGGGGGAGGGGGGTTTCATCTTACACTGAAGCAAATTACAGATGTCTGTATATGCGCGGTGTGTGTATATGGATGTCATGTATGTGGTATACGTGTGTGTAGTGTCTATATACAATATGTACAACACAACAAAGTGAAATTCAATAGGTTACAACCCGTTTGCTAGCTAATCAAAGTCTTGGGAGAAAGTGGAACAGAAACGGAAACATCAAGTATGAGACATTTTGTGTTGATTCCCAAAAGGATTCCTGTTCTCACACTCGAAGCAATGAGACGGAATTCAGGTTTTAGGAGAAGTGGGCGAGTTGAAGACCCTTTAAGAGCAAAGAGGAATGTAAGTCTCAGTGACCGCCGCAGTAGCTCGAATTCAGGTTTGGGGGCCGCGTGCAGCGTCTCAGCGGCCAGGACTCCGGGCGCCTGGTGTCAGAGGGCGCGCGGGGAGCCAGGGTAGGGGAGCCGGCCAGCCCTTCAGCCCACGGGCCGCTCCGCCCTTCTCCTGCCTGTCATCAGCCCAAGCTGCGCAGCCCCGAGTTGGCGTGCGTGAGTGTCTGAGGACGGCAGCGCCCTGAAAACCAGATAGGCCACCTCCCATGCAGGAGGGAAGGGCGGTCGTTTTCACAAACAGGAAAGCCTAGGCTTGACGGTTACTCACACTGATTCTGTCTCCCAGGAGGCTCATGACTCAAGAATCTGTGTTCCCTCCAAAGGCTAGCAGTGCCTTTGGAGAGGAACACTCTCCACAGGGAGACGAAGGTTCCCATAGGGAGAGCTCCCTCGGGCGGGGCTCACCCTAGGTCCCCGCGAGGCCTGCGGGACCTGCGTCTAAGGCGCACCTGGACAACTCCCGGGCTCTGGGCCCAGACCCGTGAGTTCTTTTCCAGTTCATGGCCCCGAAATGTCTTTCTGTTTCGTGTCTGGTTTTTAATTGTCTACTGCTGAAACCCAGAAATAGGGAAATCTGCCCAATGAAATTCCATTTAGTGTGAGGAAGTCTTCATAGGAGAAACAGGAGGATGCCACTGAGACCTCCGCCCCCACTGGCAGCTCTGGCCGGGTCCCCACCGATGGAGGGGCATGGCCGCGCATACCCGATCTGCAGGGGCAGCTGTGGCGCGGTGCACGGTGCCGGGCCCTGCCTTCCCGCCTGAACATGACTGGGCAGAGACGCTGGTCCGCGGGGCCAGGTGCCTGACAGGGTCCCCAGGACCAGTTTGAACAGACCTTGCGGACGGTCATTTTGCCTGCCCCTTAATTAATGCCCTGAGAGCGGGCCCTTGAGCCATCACCCCTGGCTCAGAGCTCCAGTGCGTGGTCCCAGAGCTTGCAATAAACAAGTGCAGGCAGCTGCTGTCAGTTGCTTGGCTGGCTGCTCAGCATCACTGTCCTTTGCTAAACAGGACAGTTGCGCCTCAAACATGTGTTTAAAGTGGGCAACACGTCGAAGCTCTAGCAACCAGAATAAAAAACCGTAATATAACATCAACATCCATTTTTTTTTTTAATGTAAGATACATCCTGACATTTTTCTTGACTCCCCTTACATTTAGAATGATCCAATTTAACAGGAAAATGAGCCTTTGTGCGAGGCCGCTGTGGCAGATTGATTACACATTAAAACATCTCCCTCCCTGTCTTCCTTCTCACCAAGGTTGCCATTGCTGTTTTTTCTACCAAAAGGAAAGTGATGTTGAATTTGGGTGGGGAAAGGAAAACATAGTTTACAAAACCGGTCCCCGACTTGGAGGTTGGGATGCTGGTCCCTCACCAACTATGCAGATCCAGGTCGGGGGGCCATTCCCACTTAAATCAACCTCCACGTCCTGGTACC